GCAAAACACCTGTCCTACCTCCATGACAAATATGTTGTTGTCGCCGCAGATAAATCCCCAAATAACACCCTTTTTGTGTGTAAAGCACATAACATTGACTGCTTGATAAATGAATTGAGTATTGACAATTCACGTGGAAACTCAACTTATACCCCACGACACTTACCAAGGAGGAAATTCTGGATAATCATAGATCTGTTCTATGTTAATCCTTTAGAATTTCAACCAAAGATAGAGAACTGGATCTTCCATCACTGTATTGGATACCTAAACTACATAAGTGTCCTTACAAACAACGTTATATTTCTAGGTCTTCCAAGTGCTCCACGAAACCTTTTTCTAAATTTTTTTAAACATCAATTTAACAGCAAACAAAGCCCGGCTTCAAATTTATTTTGAAACTACCTATTCTAGAGGTGGTGTGAATCAGATGTGGATACTAAAAAATTCCCAAAGATCTTTTAGAGTACATACAATCTAAAACTCTTTCATCTTGCAATAGTATTAAAACATTTCACTTTCTACACTTTACACAAGTATTCCCCATTCCAAACTAAAAGACAAATTAAAAGAGTTGGTCCTGCTTTGTTTCATAAAAAAGAATGGCCAAAGAAGATACAAGTATCTTGTCTTAGGGAGGGATAAATCATATTTTATAAAAAAAATCACTCTGATTCAAACAGAAAATTCTCTGAAACTGACATTATCAAGATGCTTGATTTCTTGCATCTTGTTTTTAACAAACAATCGGTATTCCCATGGGAACCAACTGTGCTCCTCTTCTTGCCGACTTGTTCCTTTATTCATATGAGGCTGACTTCATACAGGAACTTATTAGGATGAAAGAAAAGCAATCTAACTTTATATAGAACTCTGATTTCGTGATACTTCATGTGAAGTATAACGAAATCTTAGTTCTATACATTAATTAGATTGAAAGAAAAGAAATTAGCAGTATCCTTTAACTTTACTATCCGTTATATATGGATGATGTTCTCTCACTAAATTATTCAAAATTTGGTGACAATGTTGAACGCATCTATACCCCATCGAACTTGAGATAAAGGATACAATAGATACAGTTAAGTTTGTCTCATATCTTGACTTACATCTACATCTAGAATTTGACAATGAGGGTCGTTTGAAAACAAAACTTTCCGACACAAGAGATTATTTCGGCTTCCTAATTGTGAACTTTCTATTTGTATGTAGCAACATTCCAGCAGCGCCTGCATACGGAGTATATATCTTCTTCGATATTCCAGGGCTTGTATTTCCTATCATTATTTCCTTGATAGAGGGTTGCTTCTCACAAGGAAGCTATTAAACCAAGAGTTAAAAGTGATGAAGTTGAAATCACCCCTTCGTACATTTTACAGACGCCATCATGAGTTGGTTGACCGTTATGGAATATCCGTTTCACAGATGATAGCGGATATGTTCCAATTGTCGTTACTACAATCCCGTCCCCTTTCCCCCGAATGTGATTTACCGAATTAGACTCATTACCGGGTTTGTACTAACATGAGTAACACGACGGGTTTCACATGTGGAGCAGGATTCTGCTTACCCTTCCGGAGCACCTGAGATCACCCCCAGTTTTTGATGGGGTTCGTGTTGCTCGTGTCACTCTTTAGTGTTCTATGTTGTGTGTTGTGTACTGTTGTTTGTCTGTTGGTCTTTTCTCCATTTTTTTAACCATGGCGTTGTCAATTTATTTTCTACTTATGAGTTTGAATGTCCTTTTGGTATCTTTCGGCTCTCTGTGTTAAAGGTTTAGAAACTGATAGTTTAAATCTAATAAACTGGTTTTCGATAAATCTAATGAAGGCTAATCCTGATAAATTCCAGGCTATAGCCATTGGAACAAAAAAACATATAAACATAATTTGACATTCAATTTAAATGAAAACAAAATTTCGTGTAAAGGAAATGTTATACTTCTTGGAATAACTATAGATTCGGAATTAAACTTTAACAATCATATATCTGAAATATGTAAAAAGGCATCAAGACAATTAAATATTCTAAAACGAATGGGTAAATATTTAAACAGGCTAGGTAGGTTAACAGCATACTATTCATTCATTCTTTCGAATTTTATATTGTCTTTCTTTTAAAATGGAAAAAAAACCAAGAAAGAGATCTTAGATTCATTCAATCAGTACTCCCGAGAGTGAGAACTACCAGGTATGGTTTGAGATCGTTTCGCTATAATGCTGCACAAATCTTGAATGAGCTGCCTAACCATGGTCGAATGGAAACATCTTTTGACCAATTAAAAAAAATCGGTACAAACATGGGATCCAAATAACAGCTCATGTCAGTGCAGTGCATGCATATACTTAAAGTAGTGCTTTTATGGTTGCGTTTTTTTTTTTTAATTTTGTTTGACTGTTTGACTTGTTTAGCTTTTTTACATGCTATAATCTGCTGTGCTTAACATTCTAACTTATGCTATAAAGTTTAAGATATACTTTATTTTGCATACTATGCTTTTAACTTTTATACGTCATCTATGGTATCTTAAAATTGTGTTGTTTTCATGACTTTGTATGTGTATATATATATATATATTTTGTTATTCAGTCGATTTGAAAAGCTCACTAGAGATTGTGTATATGTAGTTTATTGAATGTCGACTTTAAATAAAACTTTGAACTTGAACTCTCAGTTTTGTATTAAAAATGAGTATGAACTCACTCAGTAATTAATTACCCAGTGGGACTACTCTAATTAAAAATAATCTTATTCAAGATATATATATATATATATAATTATAGCAATGAATTATTAAACTTTTCCGTTATATGTTACCTGTAAAATGGCGCAAATGTAGTTTTTTTTTTTTATAGAGCAAATGATATATAACCTTGTGGCGCAAATGAAAGATTGGGTTTTGTAAAAGTGGCGCAATTAAACTGCAATGCGCCCGGTCGGACCATATGAGTATACACGCATGTGGTCATGCAAGACCATACGCGTATGGTCCAAATACTCATATGGTCCGGTCATATATTGTAATCGTCAGTCTTCGAAGGTCATCTCGATGGTTAATTATATTTGTCGTCTAGTCCGAGTCCTGCAGAATGATACGCACGACTGCAAACGTTTGTAATTCTGGTAAATATTAACAAATTAAGGAGATTGTTATTTTGAAAAATGATGCAAAGAACTGCAAACTGAATCAGTTCATTCCAAAATCTGTAAATTTTCACTGGGAGTAGGAAAAAGAAGCACAAATATGGCAGTGATAGGTGAGCTAGGGAGATACCCATTATTAATTGAAGTTATAGTTAATATGTTTTCATACTTATCACGTTTAACAAATACAGAGGACAAATTATTGTCTGAAGCCCTCCTTGTACATGTTGTACATGTTGTATCAAAATCCTTATCAAACCATAGTAAGAAAAGTTGGTATAATTCTATGAGTTCATTAGCAAAATATTTAGACATAGATTTATCACAAATTTTTAATATGAAATCCAATTTGAAAAGTTTTATTTTGAACAGACTAAAATTAAAGTATAATCAGTTGTGGTATTCATCTTTAAACGATGACAGAAAAATATGTCATTTGGAAATAAACTAAGAACATATAGACTTTTTAAGAGAAATATAAGTTTTGAACCCTATCTGTCTATAGGCAATAGGAATCTGAGAATTCAGATGACAAAATTCAGAATAAGTAACCATGATCTAGAAATGGGGAGAGTTATTTACAAGGGACTTCAGGCAATAGGTAGAATTTGTAATCTTTGTAAAAAAGAAGTGGAAGACGAACTCCACTTTGTACTTAAATGTTCATTTTTAGAAAGTGAGAGAGTTTCCATCATTTCAAAAATAGTTAAAAGTGAATTTTTTTTTCACAATTTAGATTATCAAATCGTAATTTATTTTGGCTAATGTCCAATGAAGATAGTCACATATTTAATCAAGTGAGCAATTTAAATTAATAATTTAAATATTGTTCGATAACAACTATTAGAAACTTAGAAAAGTTATAAATTTTACTGTTAAGAAGACAGATGCATAATTTAGCTATTTAGCAAAGTTATAATTGTGCTTGTTATTATATGCTTACTGATGACAGCACCGGAAAAAAACAGAATATTTTAATCTAGTTTTCTATATTTTTAGTAACCCGAATAATTCAGTCGTTATATTCCGCTGATCTACGATGGCTACTCGTGTGGGAGAAAATCGGACACGGAAAGGGCTTGAATTATTCGAGTTATATTTTTAGGAACACTGTATTTGTCAGTGTGGTAACATATAATATTTATATCAATATACATTATTGTGTCCTTTTCTTTTCTTTTCATTTTATTCATAATTTAATTGTATTCAAATCATTGTTATCATTGTAATCATTTGTACCAAATTTAACTTGATTATTCTGCCTGTAATGAGGGTAGTAATGGTGGTACCTTCATGACGAATAACCGGTAAAAATTCTTGCCAAATGACGTTAACGGTAATTTTTGGTGCATGACGATAAAATGTACACTTTCTTTTAGACAATAAAAAATATCGACTGATTTGACGCAACACGTTTATTCAGTTTATCCAAAAATAACGGTAACGATAATTACTTGAGACCTCTGACGAATCACGATAAAGATATTTTAACGAATCACGGTAAAATTTTAACCAATTTGACGCTAACGGTAGCCGAAAATGACCGTTTGACGACTGACGGTAAAGGGCATTACTATACCCTCTGTAATGGGCGTCTTTAATTGACAATAAAATATTTGAATTTGAATTATTTTAGAACGTTGTCAATCAAACCAAGGCTTACAATATAAATCATTGATCAAACTAAAAAAAAATTTGTCTAATCGATGACAATAAAATTGGCTGTAATTGTCCCATTTATAAATAAAATTTCACTGTGTACATTTATCAACTTATTTCAATTCCGGAAATTATCGCTCCGATATGCATTAATAGTTATACATTGCTCACTGGTTTCCAGTCCTGAAGATTACTATCAAAGATTTAACAAAGTTCTGTAAATAACAGTAAATCTAAGTGTTGACAACATGGCAGATCCAAGTTCTTGGCATTCACAAAACGTTTGTAACTCGCAATATTATATGTCTTATATTTTTCGCAATACACACATGTTGACTTATATCATAATTATCTAACCCTTGAGGTTTAAAAGCTATTTTAACAGGTAACAGTTATCTGTTTAGCTGTAGCTGTTAGTGTTACTTCTTGCTATTTTTTTATATCATAGTCTTCACACAGACTTAGAATTCGTAAATGTTTTGACTTTATATACAGTTTAAATGGCACTCCGTTATCTGAAGAAGATGGTCAACGGGACTTAGAAGTTATTATTTCAAATGACTTACATTCAAATACTGAAATAGTCATAATCATATCCAACTATCGCGGTCATCACGTGACTTTTACAATTCAGTTGTATATCATTAATGGCCGATTGATTATCAATGAAAATGAACGGGCTACATAGATTAAACGATCATAACTTTTTTGTTCCATTGTGTATTTTACCTTCCAACCCCGCGTTTTATAGTATTTTCATTTTTACAATTAAAAATGTTTTAAGTTTCAGTTCAGAAATATGATTTCTTGCTTCAAATTAAGTTTGAAAATGGAGGTGACATAACCACACAGCCTCCGTTGACTTCTTCGTTAAAACTCAATAAAATTGCAATGGGACCTTCTTATATGATCAATTTTCTCAACTTATTATTTGTTAATAATATCCTTCCAACCCCTAAAAAGATCGACAACTTATTCATTTAAATGAAATCGAAACACATATCAGTTTAGGTAACAAACTTTTTGCTTCAAAATTTGATTGAAAAGTTTACATTTTGGCATTCGTTAACAATATTTTGAAAATGGCGGCCGATGTCGGAAGTGAACAAAGACACGACATGTATTCATTTAGCAATTAATAAAAAAGTAATTTGTGAAATATTTATGAAAGTGTGTCTTATTGTTTTTAGAAATTTCTTATTTCACCTTAAATTTGATATATTTATTAGAAACAGTCTCTCGCACTCAAAACAAAGATTTATATGCATCAACCATGCATTGTTTACCTTGACCATGTTGACAGCGTAGGTCGACTTGTGAAAATATATATTGTAATATTTTTACGATGAAAATCAAAAAACTGTTGGATGCATGCGTTTTCAGTTTTTGTCTTACCTTAAAGCAGCATAGAATCAACTATTTTGTCTTTTTGATAAAGTGGATACATGCTTTTTGTTTTGATAAAATTTCGAAGTTACGAAAAAAAATGGCGACCAAACAATTTTCAAACGTAGACGATGTTCGACACTAATTTTGCCCATGCAAATAACACAATTTAATTTCACTGTTTATATTGCAATTAAATATGACACGTTATTGTCACTCTAATAATACCCAAGGACATAGCTTGATTAAGGAGATATTAAGTCATCAACGTGATCAAAGAAAACAAACACGGCACCTAATCACGATGTAAGATCATGTAAGTTTTGACAAGCCTTATGTAGAATAGTATGGTCCGATTCTTATAGAAATTATTTTATGGTATTATTTTATATTAATAAAAAAAACCTCGAAACCCAGAGGTGAAATATATATATTTTTCAATTTTCTCAATCATTCATCACACGGGTCACCAGTAAATTTTTCATAATCCTAATTAAACCAGTAACATGCAGAGTTATCGAACGTAATTATGACTGGTATAGTTGCATATGATTTCCCATGTGGTAAAAAAGGCAAGAAGATGTTTTACTAGTTTAACGTCTGAGAAAGTATAAATATTGTATAAATCTGTTGTGCGTCCAATTTTTGAATATGGATAAACTATTTGGTCACCAAATTTAATTAAAGATATTGAAGCTTTAGAGAAAGTCCAGCATAGGTGTACTCGTGCATATTGTACATGGCAAGCAATTCATTCGATTTAGAATCACTTAAATCTAGAAGATGGAGACAGGATATGTGTGAAACATATAAATATACACACAACAAATATATATTTCTAACACAGACAATTTATTTGAAATGAGTGAATCACATACTAGAGGTCACAACTATAAGCTAGTGAAGCATTTTGCTAGAACTGATGTTAGAGTAGTGAACTCTTGGAACTCGCTTCCCGCCGCTACTGTCGCTGCGCCTACTTTGGACATCTTCAAATGAAATTGAAGTCCTGACCCGATGACTGAAGGGATAAATCATCAAAGTAGCAAAGTAAAGTCAAGTAAAGTAACTAAGTAATAATGTTCGAGTTATTTTTACATAAATAAGAACTCAGAAGATACCAAAGATTTCAAAAGTCTGAGAAAGATAACACCATTTGACATCAGATTCATACTAAATACGAAACTTCAGGATGAGCAAAACAAACTCCAGATAACCTGTGGATTCATTTTTTTTTGTGGGTACCAATTTTTCATGGATTGAGGAAAAAAATTATTGTTGTAGGTAGCTAGTCATTTAGAACCTTAATCATTTCATACCTTCATGACCTTATGCCATATATATATTTATGCCAACTGCTAATCAGTCTTCACGCTGAACCACAGGCCCAGCAGCCCAGGCTTGTAAAATTACTCTCGGGCCTGTAAAAATCATATCTACAGGCTAACAGAATCTAACTAAAATTTTCCAAAAATTAAGCTCCGGGCCTGTAGATTTTAAAGTTCATCGTGAAGACTGCCTGCTTATATCATTTCGTACCTTAAACATTGAATACATGTTTACTACATGTACTATTTCGTATCATATATTTGTAAATCGTTGAAATTTTGTACCAACATAGGTGTTGAAGATTTTGTAAAACACTAGTACAAAATGGCATACATTTTTATACGACTGCAAAATAAAATTGGGGTCCTATAATGCTATCACGTCGTTGTCTGCGTCGTCATCGTCATCCGAAGACATTTGGTTTCCGGACAATAACTTTAGTTTATGTGTATGGATCTCTATGAAATTTAACCAAAAGGTTCAATACCACAAAAGGAAGGTTGAGATTGTTTTTGGGGGGTGATGGTCCCAACCGTTTAGGAATTGGGGGCACAAAAGGGGCCCAAAACAAGCATTTTTCTAGTTTCAGGACAATAACTTGTGTATAAGTATTGTGATTGCTCTGAAATTGTACTACAAGGTTCAATACCACAAGTAGAAGGTTGGGATTCATTTTGGGGGAAGTTGCCCAAACCGTTCAGGAATTAGGGGCCAAAAAGGGTCTAAAACAAGGGGGGGGGGGGGGTAAACAATTTTTTTTATGGGGGGTCAATTTTTTTTCCTCCAGATTTAAGAAATTGTCAATTTTCCAAAGAAAAATTGGGGTCACAATTTATTTTGCTAATTCTTTGTATATAGTCTGAAAACAGATTTACTAAGTATTGCGCAACAGCACAGTGTATTGCTCAAAAGCAAGAAATCTTCAATTGAATATAAATTCAAATCATATAACCAATTTCAAGTTCTTTGACTACATTTATTCTGTGTCAGAAACCTATAATGTGTCAAATATTTAATTACAATCCAAATTCAGACCTGTATCAAGCTTGAATATTGTGTCCATTTTTGCCCCAACTGTTCAGGGTTGGACCTCTGTGGTCGTATCCAGCTGCACTAGGCGAAGCAGTTTATTTGTACATAAAACTCTTTCATAAGGTACGAAATGATGTACATATAAATATCAGTTTATAGTTGATATCTAAACATGTGATTGTGAATTGACAAATGGCTTTACATAATACAAATATGCTACAATTTATGTACTTGACACTGCTTGGGAATGGGAGTTAATTTACATCATGTGCAAATACATCTAGATCTAATGATAGAATAAGTATAAAATGTATACAAATAAATATAAAAATAATTACTTTGTTACTCATTACAGTCAGGGGTACTACTTGTACAAGTAATTTTTATTTACTTGAAGAAGTAAATATTAATATACTTATATAAGTAAATTTGTAAGATACTTATACAAGTGTATTTTATTTACTTGTATAGGTAAATTATTTTATTGGCTTAGTTACGTCCCTTAGACATTCAGATTTTTACTTATACAAGTAAAAAAGTCATACTATCTTCTTTTCTTGAATTTCTCGGACTTCTTTGCTCTTGTAGAATTTTTAGTTGTCTGCCCTTTGCAGATGTCTTTACTAATCACTTCAGTGTAATTTCATGGACAATGAAAATCTCATTTGTCCGTTATCTTCAGAACACTGCTTATTTACAAGCCCTACCGACCGTGCAAGGGCTGTATAGCCAGTCAAGGTCGTTAAAAACTTCCATATATACAAGCCCCCAAGGGGCAATTTTTGAAGGCCTTGCACAATTACTTAAGCTCTTTGCGCAGTTAGTTTCTTTGTTGAATTAATGAGATGAAACATTGAACTCTAATAAAAAACTATGAGCTAACCTGATAAAAATTGTTAAAGGCATGTTTTTACATTTCAAAACTTGAGAATTTTAGGGATTGTAAAAAAAGTTTTCTTATACTTGTAAATTTTTGAGAAAATTAAGGGGAGATTATTCAAATATTATAAGAAAAAATGAACATAACAAAATATACTTATATAAGTATATTATTATTTACTTCTTCAAGTAAATAAAGATTACTTGTACAAGTAGTACCCCTGACTGCATTACATGTAGATGGTTTCTAATTTTTTGAAAATTTAATGAACAGAAAACTCTATTCCAATCTTGAAACATAACTTATTTGCTGTAATACATGATGTAGGCAATTGATAAGGGATAAGAACATTTTACCTGTACAGGTAAAGTTTTGATGCAGAATGTCATTTAAACACCGGTACCTGATTAATCAATGGTTAAAATCATTTCATCTCCCTAGGTAACCTAATTAGATAGACCACCATCCCATGGTTTATGACCCCAATAAATGGCCAACATCTCATGTTTTATGACCCCCAATAAATGGAGACCATACCAGATGGTGGATATTTATCAGAGCATGTCACAGGTTGTACTGTTTATGTCACAGGTAACTTGAAGGCTTTGCTGAACCCATGTAATTTTTTCAATGACTAAAATTCATAGTTTTTTTATGCCCCCACCGTAGCGGAGGGGGCATTAAGTTTTACTCTTGTCTGTCTGTACGTACGTCCGAAAATTGGTTTCCGTTATCTAACTTTAGTTTGCCTCAACCAAATGTTATGAAACTTATCCACAATGCTTATTACCACAAAACACAGATCGAGTTTGAATTTTGGTGGCATCACTTTTACTGTTCGAGAGTTCCCTTTACAAATGGAAAAATTGTTGAATATTTTGTTTCCGTTCTCTAACTTTAGTTTCAATCAAATGTTATGAAACTTATCCACAATGTTTATTACCACAAAACACAGATCAAGTTTGAATTTTGGTGGTGTCACTTTCACAGTTATGCCCCTTTAGTTTACAAATGGAAAAATTGCTGAAATATTAGTTTTTGTTCTCTAACTTTAGTTTGCTTCAACCAAATGTTATGAAACTTATGCACAATGCTAATTACCACAATACACAGATAAAGATTGAATTTTGGTGGCGTCACTTCTACTGTTCTAGAGTTATGCCCCTTTAAAAATGGAAACATTGCTGAATTTTTCGTTTCTGTTCTCTAATTTAAGTTTACGTCAACTAAATGTTATGAAACTTATAAACAATGCTTATTACCACAAAACTCAGATCATGTTCAAATTTGGGTAGTGTCACTTTTACAGTTCTTGAGTTATGGCCCTTTATAACATAATATGCAAGGGTGGGCATAATATGTGTCCCATGGACACATTCCCCATTTATTTAGGGTAAGACACAGTCAGGTTATGAAAGGATTTCAATGATTTGTACTTGTGTTCACTGTTGAATATTTTTTACTAGTTACAAATCATTAAAAAAGTGTGTTTAAACTTTCAGATGTCTGATAAGTCAGCAGTGATAGATCTTGGAGAACTAGAGAATGAACCAGACATTGATGCTGCATCAGGTAATATATACATATACCTCAAGTTGAAATATATAGATTCCACCACTGCAACAAGTGTGTTACGATATTTCTCCACACGAGACAGTTAAATTTTAATATTAAAAGCATGAGGCTTGCCGAGCTTTTTAAATAAGTAAAATTTAACTGTAGAGAGGGGAGAAATATCGTAATACACGAGTTATAGCGTAGGAATCTGTTTGTCTGATGAATTTTATCCTTCCTTTTCAAAGATTTGGAGAAAGCTGTGTTCTTTATACATGTTATATGTGACGTCATCAGGCATGGTCGCCTTTTTTCCTGACGTCACAATAGAAAATTCAGAAGAAACCAAAGAAAATTTTACGTCATAATTAAATTTCGACCAATCTTTTGCCGAGAACAGATATTTCACTAGTGAGGAGAAATATATTTCTCACACTGATCAAGAAATGTGAAAATAGCACAAAAATTAGAGAAATCATATTTATCTACTCATTACATCAATGACATTTAATTACTGTAAACCAACTTATTTTGCAAATACTTTAAAATATCTCATTTAGCTCTTTCTATCTTATTTAATGATTTTTTCTTTGTGTATTTATATCATGTATATATATAACAATGTAAAAGAGGTTATCCAAATTTTATATATTCATGTTATTTGTTTGCTTGTGAAAATAAAGTTGTTGTGAAAATTTGTTGGCTTTTATAGTATCTGCAACTTATCTTTTGAGAGTGTTGACACAAACTTTGGAAATTTTACAGATTTAGAATTATGTAGTGCAAATTATGTGCTTGTTTAAATTTAGATTAAAGTGAAAAAAAGGCCTTTGCCTTCCAATGGCATTTTAAATCTGAACAAAGAGCTACTAATTTTTTCATGCTTATTCCGAAATTCTTAAAATTATGGGTAGATCATTTTTGTGATGGCTTAACATGTCTAGTTTTAATTCTCTGGAATTAAACATCTTCATCTTTAATTCAAACAATTTCTATGATGTCAGTTGCAAATGATGATAAAGGATTGATGTTTTACAACCATCCAGTGGCAAATATAACGAGCATGCATATCAGAATTTCTTCCAATAAGCCACCACCTTCAACTGGTTGACTATTCTGAACTATAATAATTGAACTAGAACCAAACATGCATGAATATTGTTGTGTTTCCTGACTCCCTATATCATGTATGTATAGCTACCTAGCCTAAATTTGCATGCCTACCATAACACATTTTGCAAACATTTTAACATGAATAGACCATAGCAGCTCTCTTCAAATCAATGAACAACAAATTACTTATTTTTAGAACCTGGGCCAACATCTAAAAAGAGCTTTGGAGATGACATGAGACAGAGATTGACTGGAAATGTCACAGAAATGGTGAGGATTAAGGTTGTCATGGTGGTGTCAGTTAGGGCTTTTCCAGGAAAAAATAACCATAGGATTGGAACTCCACTCAATTTTATTAACCTTGGTGGGGGTCATTTTTATTATTTCATTATTTTGTTTTAATTTAAAAAATAGTTGAAAAAAATGGTGGTGGTGGAATCCCAAAAATAAAAATGGAGTTCTGACCCCTACAAGTATTTTTTTCTGGAACAGCCCTCATTTAATTGTTGGACCAACACAGAATAACTTACTTATATTACTAGTACTGTAGAAGAATCTTTTAATTGATTTATTTTTTAATTGATTGTTGAAATTACTCCTTATTGTATCATATAAAAATAAAAAGATGTGGTATGATGGCCAATGAGCCAATTTTTCATGGAATGCAGATAAATCATTAAATAGCATAGCATGAATAGGACTGTCACTTTTCATGTATATCAGGGATCTCTATGGATAAAAATTTAATCATGAAGGACATTTCACCAGGACAAAATCCTGCATATCATTATCTACATTATTTCAGTTCTTCATTTCATTGTAATGAATAGTGAATAGACTGTTGCTTTCCAGGGTTATTGAAACTAGCAGTCTGATTAATGAATTTCCAATTTATCTGCAGTTTATATCATGTATATAGAAAAAAATCCATTTTCCTAAATAATTTTGATAAGAATTGGACTTACCGGTACATTTCAAACATGATTTTTTCTTGTTTCAAAAGGGAGATCTGTGTTCATGGTTTTCAACTATGGTTAGTTATACTGGTCAGGAATGTTTAATTTGTGTATACCAGATTAACTTCGATACTTATATTGATTAACTTTCAGTTATGGAATTCTGGTAAGACACAAGCTAAGAAAGCCTGGAGTCTGTACGGTAATATAGACATTCTAAGACCTTACTTTGATGTAGAACCACATGAAGTTAGGCAAAGGTAAATATTAAGAGATATTACAGAAATGAATGTACATACAGGGTGCTGATAGGAGATTAAAATCTGGTGCATTAAAGTCATATGAAACTTCAAATTTAAAAAAAAAGTTGAGTATGTTTTATATACATGTACTTGAATGGCTAAGTTTTAATATTAAAGAAAATCCTTTATATTGTCAAAATCTTCATTAATGTACTGCTATTGAATTATTGTCTTCCCATACACTAATTTGTCGATATTTTCTGGTATGAAGTGACCTTTTCTAAGAATCCTCTAGTTAATACCTGAGCCACTGCAAATAATAAGTTATTTCACTGTTGTCATGGTTGTGCCATCTTTTTTTAAAACCCAAAAGTATTCAGGATTCATTCCTTTGTCTGATTTATATGAAATTTCCACTTATCCAAGTAGAAAGAGTGTTTGTATTTTTACTGATATACTTTTCTTTTTTAGATTACTATTCTCATTGCTACCACAGAAACCCTCAGATCAGAAACAGGTAAGCCTATATAAATAATTTAACCTTTAAATCATGCTCAATGTTTGGAGTTTTTTTTTTTAAATGTAATAGATTCATACAGTTATTCTCTAGAAATTTACACTAATTGTGTATTTATCAGGTAATATGATGTGTCATAGTTGGTTATTTGACAACAGCTGTCATCTCAGTACCAGAATCTTTGACAAACGAGACGATTTCAATTTTAAAATTATAAATTTTCCTCACTGTAGCAAAATTATTTCAACTTCACCCATGTATATATATGGAGTATACATTTCTCAATTCATACAATATTTAAGAGCCTGCAGCTGCTACTCATACTTTGTTAAACGTCATCAGTGACTGAGCAGAAATTTAATGAGCCAGGGTTTTTGTCAAAGAAAGTCTCATCAGTTTTCTCAAAAAGTTAATTGGAAAGTACCAAGACCTAATACATAAATATTCAGTGTTTACTTCACAAATATTACAAGATGGTGTTGAGTTATAGTTTCTAGGTGCTGATGTGTATCTATTTATTTTACTTTAGTTTCTCCATTATTTGTCTTTGTGCTATTAAGTCTCTTTTGGTTTTTGTTTCTTTTGGTGTTATGACTTTTAACGTTACATGGTATTTATAAATCCCGGCGCCATCAGGTTTTTGACTTTTTAACTTTGGGCATTACATGTGCAGGTGTGTCCTGAAGTACGATTTGGATACAACGGGTGTTTACAATGTTGTTTCTATTTTGTTTACCCTTGTATTTATATTTACTTAATTCTAATTTATTGAGAAAATGTATACTATATATGGTATGTAATATCAATGACAAAAACCTTTTTTTATGTGACTGCCGGGGGCATTTAGTGTAACCCTTGACCTTCCGTCTTTCTTTTCGTCTGTCCTTCCCATTTTTGTTTGTTTGAAACTTGAGGTGGGGCATATGTGTCCTCAGACACATTATTCTTATATTTTGGTGAAGTCATTGTCAAATTTTGTAGACGAAACACGCGTCTGGCTTACAAAATTTTAATCCTGGCATCTATTTATTACTATATACTACACTTTTTGTACAGCTTCTTTGTTAAATTGTTTTTTATGTTTGTTTGAATTTTTTAGTCAGTTGTGTTGTATGTCTGTGATGTATGTTTAAACAGTTTGGCTGCCAATTATTGTCACATTAACCTATAATTTCTTTTTAGGTTGCATACCCAATTTTGTCAATATAACAAAATTGGCTTTTTACTCTTAGTATATTTTGGTTGTGTTTTACCCCTTTGGATTTCATTTTTTATTCCCATTTTGATATGCATATAGTTAGTATCTTAATTAGGGCCCTGCCTAGTGGCGGGTCGCCCTATAGTGATCAGTCTGTTTGTCCATCTGTTCGTAACAAATTGTGCCCGCTCTATATCTAGAGAACCGTTATAATTTCATACTTTATACTTGACATGTATATTAACCAACACCAGAGGGTGTGTCATAATGTTTTTACAATTTCCTAGGTCAAATTTCAAGGTCAGTGGGGCCCACAGAGATGGCTCCCATCTCAATGATATCTAGTTCTTTCTGTAATTTTGGATCTGTAAGACAAACATTTAATGCAGATTAAAACTATCTTGTACATGTATTTAGTTTATCAATTACTGATTCACTTAGCTGCAGTGCTGGTTATGAATGTGCTTTTGATTAACAAATATCATTTGTGATTTATAATTTTTTACTTTTCTTGCTTAATTTCAGAGGGTTCCCAGAGAGCTATATGGTCCTTTAATGGTTGTTTTTACAATGATAGCTTTATTGTTGTTTCAAATGAAAACAGCTGAACATAAAGTTGTAAGTATTATGACCAACTACTTAGACCACTCGGCAAATGAGGCCCCAACAGGGATTGATATAGAACACAAGAGTACAATGAGGCCCCAACAGGGATTAATATAGAACATAGAGTACAATGAGGCCCAAACAGGGATTGATATAGAACACAGAGTACAATTGGGCCTGCCTTATAGGACATATAATCTTAAAAGCACATTAAAAAAAATTATAATTATAAAGAGTACTGCAGAATATCTTATGATGAATTAAGTTTGCAATGAAATCTCCCTAATTATTTACAGTACATTTTCACTTTTCCTTGATGTTTTAATATAAATATTTTATATTATAATTTTTATTTAAGTAAATTTTTGAACTTTTTTATAATAAATTGACAATAGAAAGTAGTCAAATACTGTAAAACAAATTATTTTTAGCCAGCGTTTTCGTAAAAGCCCTTTGGACGCACCATATTTATAAAGTATTTATTTTTATTTTACAATTGGCCATGATAAAGTTATTTCCCCTGTTAGTATAGTGTGATATCAGTTAAGAAATATTAAGTTAAAAAAGAAAAAAAAAGAACACATACAAGGAGATTTGTCAGTGACTTGATAATTGCTTTTCCATACATGCCATATTTAAAAGCAGGGGAGGGACATTTGTTTTTATCCGCAACCATCTATAATATAAAATTATCATTTTATAATTCTAACAAAATTCTGAAGAGTATGCAACCACCAACAATTCGTTAATTTAGAGCCTCTTATCCCCCCATGCATTTAAATATGGAGCCAATCTTACACATTAATAGATTTACGCCAACAGTTGAACAGGTTAATTTGAAATGATAATATGAAATTCTTTGCAAGGGAGATAATTCTATTCATTTGATATTACAGGAGGAAGGAACATTGATGGGTACAGCTTTTGGTGTGTGTTTTACCTACTGGATTGGTGGTGCTGTGTTTGTGTGGGTGTTATCTTATATATCTAATGTTCACATTGCACTTTTACAGATTATGTCTATGATGGTAAGATATATATAAAGATAAGAGGATGTGGTATGGTTGCTAATGAGACAACTCTTGACCAGAGACCAAATGTCATAGAAGTATACATATGTTTGATAAAATAAATACCATTTGTCTACAAGCCAGGATGGTACATTGATTGGCAATTTGTAGACAATTCTTCATTTATATATTTACAATGATAAATTTCTGTCTAAATACAAACGGTATTTCTTATGAAAAATGTGTTTCACAGTAGAGGTTTTTTTGTCTTGTCATTAATGCTTCTTTTGAAAAACAATTTTATTAGTTAAAGTAAATTTACAAATCATAATCATAATCATGTACTGAATTTGATTTTTATCATCTTAATATTTAGTACTTAAATTTATTACTTATTCTAACATGACGTTCTTCAAACGCTTTGAGTACACACCCGTGGTAAAATATGAATATATTGTTTGGGCTGTTCCGATCGTCCTCCCGCGTCATATGTTTTTTTATGAATGAGCTGCCCGACGTCATAGAACGATGACGTAAGAATATAAGCATTTTACGGGAAAATACACGCTTGTGAAACCGAAAATCATCACAACAAGGAAACGTAAACAAACGATGCAAAAATGTGTTATGTAAGCCATTTGTTGTATACATATAAGACATATAAGTACAATTATCATTTAGATTCATCCAAATCTATCTAAATATGTTATTGTAAATAGTTTAAGCATGTCATTTATTCAGTTTGCTCCGGTCTTTTACGTCAATTTAATAGTGCGTTTATTTATGGGAACGGCAAATAATGCCTTCATCTAGAGCGCTTCGATCCAAAACAATTGCCGTATTTGTCCTATTAGAATCGAAATAATTCATGGGGGCTTGAATAATCGTGATTTTACCACGGGTTGTCCCTTTATGCCGATATTTTACCCCTCGCTATCGCTCAGGGTAAAATATTTGTCATAAAGGGCCAACCTGTGGTAAAATCACGATATATTCAAGCCCCCATGAATTATTTCTTAAATATTATATCATTTTCCATCCATCTGTAATGGTTGTCCAGGTAATAGATCACTACATAACAAATTCGATTAAATTTTTCACAATGTTGAATACAAATTTGGCAATTACCTCTGCGTAGTCAGTATCATTAATATTTAGTTGTATAAAAAGTAAAATAACAAAAATACCTAACTCCAAGGAAAATTCAAAACGGAAAGTCCTTTATCAAATGGCAAAACTAAAAGCTCAAGTACATCAAACAAATGGAAAACAACTGTCATATTCCTGACTTAGTACAGGCATTTTATGTAGAAAATGGTGGATTAAACCTGGTTTTATAGATAGTTAAACCTCTCACTTGTATGACAGTCACATAAAATTCCATTATACATGTATTGACAACAATGTGTGAACAAAACAAACAGGCATAATAGGTAAAAACAGGTTATAAATGACTATATTCAATGTATTTAAAAATAAGGAGATGAGGTATGATTGCCAATGAGACAAATATCCACCAAAGTTAACATGAAGTGGATGTAAGCAATTATAGGCAACCGTACGGTCTTCAACAATAAGAAAAACCCATACTGTATAGTTGTCTATAAAAGGCCACAACATGAAAAAATGAAACAATTCATTTTAGAAAACTAACAGCCTAATTTATAACAAAATATGCCCCATTATTATGTAAATTGTCAGAATTATGAAATCACTCCACTGGTTATACACTGTGAAGTATTTTTTTTCTATATTTTCAGGGATATGGATTGTTTGGACCTTGTATTGTATTATTTCTCAGCACTATCATTCACACATCACATGATCATTTATTTTTCTATTCGATGTGGGCAATATTTGGAGGTTTATCTTCCCTTAGAATGGTAAGTTTAATTTCTCTACCTTAAGGTGAATGGTCAATAACACGATTGATTCAGTTAGAATATGAAAAGTGATACAGTGGGAACAGGAGCAGCCACCAAGCAAGATATAACTCTAAATTGTTTGCATTTATAGAGTAGCCAGTGTCCATTGCTGATATGTGCATATTACTAATTATATAAATACCAGAAATATTGATGACCTGATGAGAATTGTATGCCCATACTGGCAAAAGCACTTACATCTGCTTACCCTGCTGGAGCACCTGCTAATGTTAAACTTTTACATAAATTTCATTCAACTCTAGATGAAAAGTGTGTGCTTTCAATTTTGGCTGACTGTGTAGTACACAGTTCCAAGGACTTTATTCACCTAAAAATATTCTATTATATCTTTTCAGGTGAAAAATGACATAGAATTTAAAAAATATTGTATGGTTATGAATTGATTATTTGTCTGTTTCTTATGTTGTAGATATCTATAATATTATCAAGGACACAAGGAAAATCACAGAGATTATTAGTGTGTGGTGTCTTAGCAGCTTTACATCTTTTGTTTCTTATTTATCTACATTTTGCATATCATCAAATTGTTGAAGGTTAGTAGAACTTTAATATTATTCACTCAAACTAATCATGCTAATGTTGAAGTTCTTTCAAGCTCATTGGCCATGAGCTATTTTCATGACTTGGCATCCACCATTGCCTGTTATCAACAAACTTTAAAATTTTAATCTTCTCTAAAACCACTTATCTGATTTTAACAAAACTTTTCAGAAATGATGTATGGAAAGTGTTCTACAAGAAATCTTTGCTTGAATCCAATAGGATTAAAAATACGTCCACCAGAAGCAATCTTAGTTTCTGATTTGCCAAATTTCAAAACACTTTTATGAAACTTCATTGTAACTGTTTTTTTTAGTTTTTATACGACCGCCAAAAATTTTGAGGTCGTATATTGGTATGACGTTGGCGTCATCGTCGTCCGGCGTCGTCGTCCGAATACACAATGGTTTTCGCACTCTAACTTTAGTTTAAGTGAATGGATCTCTATGAAATTTTACCATAAGGTTCAATACCACAATAGGAAGGTGGGGATTGATTTTAGGGGTTATGGTACCAACAGTTAAGGAATTAGGGGCCAAAAAGGGGCCGAAAATAAGCATTTTTGTAACTTCCAGACATAACTTGTGTGTTAGCATATGGATCTCTTTGACATTGTACCACAAGATTCCATATCACAAAGGGTCAATGCTGGGATTGATTTTGGGGTTAATTGCCTCAAAATTTTAGGAGTAAGGGGCCAAAAGGGGGCAAAAAACAAGCATTTTTCTAGTTTCATGACAATAACTTGTGTGTAAGTGTATGGATCTTTCTGAAATTTTACTACAAGGTTCCATTTCACAAAGGGAAAGCTGGAATTGAGTGTTGTGGTAATTGCCCAAAACGTTTAGTAATAAGGGGCCTAAAAAGGGGTTTAAAATAAGCATTTTTTAGTTTCTAGACAATAACTTGTGTTCAAGTGTATGGATCTCTCTAAAATTGTATTACAAGGTACCATACCACAAAGGCAAGGCTGTTATTGAGCTTGGTTTGGGGGGAAAGGGGGGTGGGGGTGATGAATCATAAGGGGGGCGGGGGTCAAAAAAGGGGTAATTTTTTTTTTCCTTTTTTTTTTGTTTAAAATTTACATTTTAAGTTAGTTATTTTTTATCACGAAGAGAAAGTAGGAATTGAGTTTTGGGGTTAATTGCTCAAACATTTATGAATAAGGGGCCAAATATTGGTCGAAAATAAGGATTTTTTTAGTTTGCAACAAAAACTTGTGTTCAAGTGTATGGATCTCTGTGAAATTGTATTGCAATGTACCATACCACAAATTAAAGGTTGTGATTGAGGTGGGGGATGATGAATCAAAAGGGGGTTGAAAAAATGTGTGGGGGGTAGGATTTTTTTTTTTCCTTTTTTTTTCTTTAAAATTTTACATTTAAAGATGGTTGTTTCAGATTTATATATGAAAGAAAATAATAATGATACGGTTATATATCATGAGGAACTGAAATTTAAAATTATGTATATTGGAAAATTTAGGTTACATTGGAAAGAAATAATTGGCTTTGGTGGGGTGGGGGGGGGGGGTGGTGGTGGTTGTTATGGCTCTAATGTTTAAGGAATAAGGGGAAAAAAGGTTAAAAAACAAGGGTTTCCATTTTAATAGACAAATAATTGAGTAAAGAACATTATTTAAAAGCAGTGTAAGGTTGGTAATTCAAACTCATTTAAATATCTCATCTACACTGCTTTTAAATTATGTAAATTGGAAACTTGCCAATAACTTTATTGTTAATAAATGCATTGGAAATTTGCCAACAATTTTAGTGTAATAAACTTCATTGGAAATTTGCCAATATAAAATTTTGCTGATGAAGGTTTTTTGTTTACCTTTAGCCTTGACTATGAAGTCATTTTCTATTTTTATAGCCTTATGATGTAGTTGAATTATTTAATACTTTTATGATGTGTTTAAATGGGGTTTTATCATGTTTATGGTTGCAAATTTATTGTTTTAGTATAATAAACTCCATTTAAAATTTGCCAATAAAAAAAATTTTTGTTTATTTTTAGCTATGATTATGATGTCATTTTCTATTTTACTTTTATGGTTGCAAAGAAATTTTTATTTTTAGATATTACTGTTAAATGATGCTGATTAAGGTTTTTGCTATGTTTAGCCATGACTATGATGTCATTTTCTATTTTAATATCTGTTATTATGTATTTAAATGGGCTTTTATGGTTACAAAGGAATTTTATTTTTAGATATTACTATAAAATGTTGCTGATGCTGATTAAGGACTTTGTTTATTTTTAGCCATGACTATGATGTCATTTTCTATTTTATTACCTTTATGATGTAATTTCCATTTTTAGATATTACTGTTAAATGATGCTGATTAAGGGTTTTTTGCTATGTTTAGCCATGACTATGATGTCATTTTCTATTTTAATATCTTTATGATGTATTTAAATGGGCTTTTATGGTTACAAAGGAATTTTATTTTTAGATATTACTTTAAATGTTGCTGATTAAGGATTTTTGTTTATTTTTAGCCATGACTATGATGTCACTTTCTATTTTAATACCTTTATGATGTATTTAAATGGGCTCCCATGTATTTAGATTTTTGATTATTTATACATGTTACCAAATTGGCTAACATTGAACAAAAACGGTCCAAATTTCAACTTTATTACATTACATCAAACATTGAATTCTACATATTCTTTGATATATTGAAATTAACAAACAATTTAGTTTATGGATATTCCACCATAATAGGTAAATTAAATTTTTTCCAGTTCTTACACCACATTTATCCTGTGTCAGAAACCTATGCTGTTTCAAATATTTAATGACAATCCAAAGTCATAGCTGTATCAAGCTTGAATTTTGTGTCCATACTTGCCCCAACTGTTCAGGGTTCGACCTCTGCGGTCGTATCAAGCTGCGCCCCAGCGAAGCATTTTATTATTTTATTGGATAAATTTTTCTAGAAAAAAGTTACAATTTGATGATAGGCTTTTCTTTTACTGACCCTTGCATTGAAAATTAAGGCATTCATGATGTAGCTATACATAACTCTACAAAATGTATGTGTAACTGGAGACTTGAATTATAATTTAAAAAATGAATTTTTAATGTAAAATTAAGTAATTGCACTATTAAATTATCCGGGGTTACCTGTTTTTTTCTTTCTTTGTAGAATTATCTGAAGTTTTTGACAGTAAACCAGTTGTACAACAGCCACAGGCAAAACTTGACGATATTTCTGCCACAAAAGGTAACTAGAGTTCTATCTTACAGCTGAAATTCTGAGTCTGTATTTTGTTCATAAAAAGTTCAATTCACCTGTTAGTTTGGTGATCCATGAATTCTATGATAGCTTTTGTAAATATAGAAACACACTGGACAAACAGATTTTTCAGTCATCCTTTGTATACTCACTCATGATACGAGTGGCAAGTACTGTAAATTCAAAAATTTGTGTTTGCATTTATTTTTTGGGTTTGTTGAACAATGGTTACAAACATAAGATTGATTATTGGAATTTCAGTAAATACTGCAATCAAAACATCCTCTTTGGATACCTCAGAGAGTTGTTGCAAAGGTTCCTGAATGTGAAGAGAGAATGACACTCAACCTACAATATTCAGGATTAAAGTCAGGGGTTCAAATTAGTGTGGGTCAGAGGTCCAGGACCTGTCTTTTCTAAAAGGGGACTTTTCATTTTTGAGTTACAAAAGTCAAGGACCTACGATTCTTTACATTGAGGCTTTATACAAGACCATTGAATTTCTTATAGAGGACCTTTCACTGAAAATTTTCAAATAGTCCTGGACCTTTCATTATTTAAAGCAAATTTGAACCCCTGTAATAAACGGTCTTATTTTCAACAAAAAATTTGAATATTGGTTTGCTTCCACCAATAACAATGTGAGTTGGCATCTCTGCCTTTGGTATTTTTTTTTAAACTTCTTTTAGCTTTCTTTTTTGTTTTATAAGTTTAATTGGTGATTTCTATGCTAGTTACAGAAAGCGTCAAGTCAGTAGTTGAGCATGCACAAAATATTGTAAAGCGGGCAGTTAATGATACACTAGGCAACACTAGACTGGGTACTAACAACACGCATGCAGTCAAAGGTCAGAATAAGTTAACATAATTTTGCATGGGTTTATGGTTTTTTTTTTCCTGTTTTTCTTATTATTAAATTTATTTGATTTTTATAGTAATAGTACATTGTAGAGTGAGGGGCGGAAGGACCTTTTTGGAGAATTCAGGATTGAGCTGTTTAATGGGGGGGGGGGGGGGGGGGGGGGAATTGAGGGATGGCCAGTTAAATTCAGAATTAAGGATTTCTGGGTTTAATTATATTGTGATGCGTAACAGACACATTATTTTCACAGGAATTCAGGATTTGGCATTTATTTTCTCTGTAATTTGGGGTGTAAACACCTCACCACCCTTCCCTAGAGTAGAAATTTTGAAAAAAAGATCGATAGGGTGTATTTGAAATTTTTTATATACACCCATCAAAGAAAGACATATTTTAATTTTATTGATCTGACAGCCAGTTCAATCTTTTTTCATGGCTCCAACATTATTATATGTTACATATTCATGTACAATATTTGTCCCTTTAGAGACCACCTTCCAGACAATTGTCATATAAAACTTTATAATCAAGTTAATGGCAGTTCAAATATTTTTACTGAGTAAAAGTAAAAGGCATATTTAATAACATCAATAACATTATTACACCGACAGTAGTATGACATTGTGCTCCCCTTACATCTACAAGTTTTCTATCTTCTTGGCCATGAGCAGTTTTTTGCTTGCACTATTTTGTTTTTCGTTTAAACAGCCTTGTATTTTAATAAGGAAAGAATTTTACCTGTATACAATGTATTATGAAGGTCTAGATGGGGGGTCTTTCATATCTGTATTCTTTAATTTTTTCATTTGTTTTTAGGTAATTTTTCTCTTTTTTTTTGCCCATTGTTTTCTGTTCATTATATTTTAGCACACCATTATTCTCCATTCTGTATTTGTTTGCCCTATTTTTCTCTATTCTTTATTTTTGGCCCATTTATTCTGCACTTTTTGCTCATTATATTCTGCACTTTTTGCTCATTATATTCTGCACTTTTTGCTCATTATATTCTGCACTTTTTGCCCATTATTCTCTAGTCTGTAAACCCCATCAATCCCTCAATTATTGTACAAGGGTTAGTTACAAAATGATATTGCATTTTGTCATGTTGGTTAATATTTGATATACTATACATGCTGTAGTTGACATGGCATTTTCAGTTTGTTTTCCAGGTATGAGTTTGAATGTCCCTTTGGTATCTTTTGCCTCTTTTTTTTATAGTATTATGACCCTAACACCTTGGAAAATTCACAAAAATATTTCCTATTATTAGTATGTACTTATGAGTTAAAATTTCATGTGTTGTTGTGTAATAGGTAGTCATTCAGATTCTGAAAATTTAACCACATTTTTTTCCAGCAGATTTACATGTAGTGTCTTTCTTTTTTTAAAGAATTATAGAAAACTCACCTTGACTTGGGAGAAATGTGATTTTCTTATATGAATCATGCTCTCTGGTTAGGGCTATTCCAGAAATAGATGTATGGGAGGGTTGGACGGCAGTTGATCTTTTTTGCATGGGTGGTGGTGGTTGGAGCAAATGTAACTGTGTGGGTAGTTGTTCTTCTCCACAACTTAATCAAGTGGGTGGCTGTACATTAACATATTAAGATTTGGAAGCTTTTGCACATTAATAACATAAAATATAACTTTACAAAAGATGATGAAATAGGAATGAATCTCGGAAATTTTTTATGTTTTTTATGTTTTTAATTTTTTTGTGTGGAGTTATTTCCCCTTCAAGTGGATTTTCTTTAAAATATGTTTTTACTGATTATTGAAATACACAACAATTTTATTTTATTTTTAAACTGCAAGAATATGTCATTTTAATGAAAAGAAGAACAGCTTTGATTTTTTTGTCTTAAAAAAGTTCATTTTATTGAAAAAAAGAATTTCTTAGATGACCATTATTTTAGATTTGAATATTGTAAGTAAAAATGTAGTTACAACAATGTCTCACCGACCGTGTGAGGGCTGTATAGCCAGTCAAGGTCTTTAAAAACTCCCATCATCATCTACCAATAGCTGACCGTGCGAGGGCTGGTTAAAAACTCCCATCATCGTCTACCAATCCGTGCAAGGGCTGTATAGCCAGTCAATGTCATTAAAAACTTCCATTTGTTGTGTCTACCAATCAACCCCCCCCCCTTTCCATAAATTTATTTCTGAAATATCCCTTACATATTTGAATGGTTTTCGGATTGTAATCTCATTGATGCTTACCCAATATCTTTTTCCATCATACTTATAGTTTTCCCTTTTTATTATCACACACACACGTATTTATTGTTCTTTTATTTCTTACAAATTTGGGATATTTGTTTGCATTGCTTGCCTTTTCTTTTTTTTTTATCAAGGTTACATAAATAATATTAACTTTCCAGTTTGGAAATTAATGTATCACTCTACACACTGAGAATATTTTTCATTTTTTAAGTAACAAGTACATGTGTACACTTTTAAACAATGTTTGCTACTCTATACTCTATTTCAAAATAACATGCTTTTTCACTGTTATAAATTGAAAGTATACATATATAACGGAACTAAAAATAGTATACATATATATAACAGAACTTAAAAAGCATGAAAAAAGGTCTGTGTCCTTGTTTTTGAGATACATGTATAAGCCATTGAAAGTTTGGCGGGAAATGATTCTCTCTAGATTTGTCATACATTAAATATTGGCACCTTTATTCTTTTAAAATCTATGAATAATAACATGGATTTTTTTAAAAAAAGAAGTGGCTTTTTAAACTTTATGTAATGAAATGAAAAGAAAAGTAGGGGTCGGCAGGTAAATTTTAATGACACCACATGGATAAAACCAGAGGATTCTGAATATCTGACACAAAATCAAAAGATAAGCGAACATCCTTAAGATTTTTGTAAAATTAATTTCAACAGTTTAAAATCTAATTCGTTATTTTCATGGCACTGATAATACATGAAAACTGTTCTCACAAAATGAATATGATGATAAAAACACTGTGATGATCTACATGTATAGCACATACATGATGAAAACTATGTAAAATAAATACTCATATATTAATGTATGTTTTGAATTCTTTCAGCATAAAAATCATTGGTTGCTGTTTTCAAACTTTGAAATCCAACTAGAGGTGCCACAGTTGGTCCAACCTGAGTTGTAATTTTTCTCTGGAATTGTGGGATTTACTGGTAAATTTGACTTACCAAGAAAGCAGACTATTATTAATCACAGAAGAACAGAAAGAGAAATGAACCATGTCACATGTCACAGAATATCATGAACTTTTGTTTTTTTTTGGGAAGAATGGTTTTTTACTAAATTTAGAAATTCATGCCATGTTTTCATTAAAAAATGTGAAACGATTTACATTCACATTGCAATACTGTGAATTCATTGTTATTTGTGGGAAACCAATTTTTATGGATTTCTTTGGTAGAGGTGAACAATGAATCAAAATGTTAAGCTTGGTACACATGAAAATCAATGCATCCACAGTAGTAAATACAACTAACAGTTTAATTTTTGCAAGGTAATTTCTACTGTAGCAATTACAATTGATTAAATAATCTGATATTATTATCGGTTATTAATGATTTGCAACTCTATAAATTTGATTTTATGAAAGATATAAGAACTTTGAAAAATAATGAGCATCATGGAAATACGAACAAAATGAATGGGAAAACACTGAATTTTTATTTATATGAAAAACAAATCATGGAGAGCCTGTCCTACTGTTTTATTAAAATTTTCCCCATGATCTTAGCAACTACTTGTTGTAGCGTAAGACTAAAATGTGATGATATTGTATGCTTTGTTATGTGTATAATATTTGTTTAGAATTGTAATTCTCCTGAAATGGAAGATAATGCAGATTTTTCATTGCCGTTTTCAACTAGTTTCACTGTATTGCCTTGGAAACTGATTTTTGATATGAAAAAAAATAGTTATTGTGCAACTGCAAGTTAATATAGAATTTTTGAGACAACAGCTTTTTAGTCTTTGAAAATGCACTTGCATATTTTAATGTTTGTCAATGTTTCAGTCTGTTTTCTGTTGGGTATCTTAATGAGAGACTTTTAATATTTTTTTATGGCCCCGCCTCGGCAGAGGGGGCATTACGATTTACCCTTCTCCTTTTGTATGTCCCTCTGTCCATACATCCTAAAATTATTTTCCTTTCTCCAACTTTAGTTTGCCTCAAGTTCAACCAAATATTATGAAACTTCTACATAATGCTTATTATCACCAAACACAGATGAAGTTCAAATTTGAGTTGCGTCACCTTCACTGTCTAGAGTTATGACCCTTTGTTATGTCCCTTTTTAAATGAAAGAAATTTTTAAATTTGCCCTTTCCACTCTCTAACTTTAGTTTGCCTCAACCAAATGTTATGAAACTCTTACACAATGCATATTACCTCCAAACACAGATCAAGTTCAAATTTAGTTAGTGTCACACTGTTATCAAGTTTTGTCCCTTTGAAAATTGAAAATATTTTGATTTTGGCATTTATTTATCTGTATCCATTCTTCATTTATTCTACCATATAATGTATGCAAAAGGTGTCTGTGATAATGTTTTGTGATATTATTGGGAATTGTACTAAAGGGATCATTTATAGCTAGAGTAAAATCTCATCATTATCTGTATATTACAGTCAGAGCTCTGACATAAACAAGTCAGAATAAAATGACTTCTTCAAGTCAGAAAGTGTTTTGAAATTCTGACCTGTACGCGTCAATTTTTGTTTTGCGTAGTTTTCACTCGAGTCCGTCAAACCAGAAGTTATTTTGAATTTGCCGCCGATCTACGACACATACGATCACGTGGTTTTTTGCAAGAGATCACGTGTTTGAGAGTCGTTGTTTTGGAAGTGTCTCGAACGAGAAGTCATTGAATATTATATTGATTATTTACGATTTTTAGTGAAAATCTAGGTCATTGTGGGCATTTTTAGAAAGGTAATTCATATTACCTCCGTATTTTCATGGGCATTTTTATATTTTTTGCCTATAAAGAAGTTCCTTGCAAGTGATTTTTTTGCTGTTTCATGAAGGCGCGCGTCCTGTAAATACGGACGCGTGGTCTTTTAGATGACCTGGTGTTTGACAATTCTGACTTGTTCAGGTCAGAAAATGTTGTTATGATAATGAATTGTTATTTTCGGGAGATAACTCGTGTTGTCTTAAACAATATTAACATTATTAACCAGTCAGTGCAATTTAAAAAGTAAAATTATTGCTTCGAGTTGAACATCGTCACGTGATTTTTCTATTTTTAAACTCAATCACGAACTGATTTTTTAACCTTTCTGATTCGTTTCTCCCTATGAGAAAAACGATCATTGTGAATATTGATATGATGATAATGAAACGAAAATGGGAAAAATTTTAATAAAAGAAAAACGAAGGGAGGGGTTTAACTAAAGAACCCAAGGGTTTTTTTTTTATTTTTAAAGTTAATAACTTGAGAACAATAAGTGATGCACACACCTGGTCTTCATTTATGATCATGGGACATGATAAAACAAATCAAATGAAATGTAGGGCAAGTCTCCAGGGATCACCCCTATCCCTGTCATTTCTCTATTCCTCTTTATAATGTCAAATTGATTTGAATGAAATATACCGGGCTAGTCTCCAGGTTTACCCCCACCCCCTGTCATTTGTAAATGTTCTTATATTTTGTTAACGGTAGAGATCCCCACCCCTAAACCATATATATTCTTGTATGGGACAATTTAACAAATCAAATGATATGTTGGGGAGGTCCCTGGGGGTCACCCCTACCCCTCCTGTTTGAAAACTTGTAAACGGTCGAGATCCCCACCCCTAAACCATATATTTTCTTGAATAGGACAATAAAACAAATCAAATGAAGTATAGGGGAAGTCCCTTGGGGTCACCCCCACCCCCTCCTGTGTGAAAACTTGTAAACAGTCGGGATCCCCACCCCTTAACCATATATATTCTTGTAAGGGTCAATAAGACAAATCAAATGAAATAAAGGTGGAGTCCCTGAGGGTCACCCCACCCCCTCATGTTTGAAAACTTGTAAATGGTCGAGATCCCCACCCCTACACCATATACATTCTTGCACAGGACAATAAAACAAATCAAATGAAATATAGGGGAAGTCCATTGGGGTCATCCCCATCCCCCTTTTTGAAATGTTCTGGATCACCACCCCTAAAGGTAAACCATATGATATTCCTGTTCGTCATTTCAAGAAGATTTGAATGACATGCAGGGTCAAACCCTAGGCGTCACTTATGCATATCACTTTACTAGACAAAACCAATTTGTACTGGAACTTGCCCAATGTCAGGCAACCATGGGAATGACGAATTATGGGAGCTTAAATTTGTTTGGGAGACTTCGTAACAGCATCCTGTTACAATTATTTCTTGTTTATTTTAATCTGCTGAGAGACCACCTTTACATATTATATTTATCAGTGTTTGTGCAAACAGAATTGTCTATTCAGTATTATTTTCCTCTCACATGCATCACATCTTATTAATTACACGGATATAGGAAGATGTGGTATGAGTGCCAATGAGACAACTCTCCATCCAAGTTACAATTTATAAAAGTAAACCATTATAGGTCAAGGTATGGCCTTCAACATGGAGCATTGGCTCACACCGAACAGCAAGCTATAAAGGGCCTCAAAAAATTACTAGTGTAAAACCATTCAAACGGAAAAACCAACGGTCTAATCTATATGAAAAAAAAATAAAATTTTGGCATATTTGTTTTCCTCTGAAATTACACATCTATAATTCTTACCCCAGATGCTTAGCCACATGAAGCATTTACCTCTTATTTGAGACATAGATAGTCTTTGTTTCTACAGAAGTGAGAAGAACATTGGAAGTCAGAATGTTCTGACTTATAAAAGTCTGAATGTTCTGACTTATAAAAGTCTGAATGTTCTGACTTAATAAGGTCAGTAAGACTCAGAATGATCTGAAAATACTGACTTTTTTTAATGTTTAGAGTATTTTAGAATATGAATGCACTTGTCATGCTAGTACCATAAGAAACCCTGACAAGATTTTGTTCCCAAACAACAATTTTTAAAGATATTAAGAATAACAAGTGTACAATGGAACATAAATTACAAAGTTATAAGTGATGTGAAAAAAGCTATTTAAAAAAAAAAACAATAGATAGTTATCTTTCAACTTTTACATGTATTTAAAAAACAGTGAAAATATTATGGATTATATGTACGGCTTCTTGAAGGACAACAAAGTCACCATATTTGGTCTGAATTTGTATGTTTTTTCTCAAATTTTTTTTAACATTATTAATGTCAGCTTTTTTCTTAACTAATTTTAAACATTCTTAATTATAATTAAATTTCCCCAACATTTTGCTTACAAACTCTTTAATTTCTAAAGTCAAATTGAAAGTTGTCTTCACAGATTCAATGTGTCTGAAAATGTTATATTGAAAAAAACAATACTTTTATATCCTCAAATAAAATGGGTATACCATGAGTTTAATGGTCATGCAGATATGCAATCCAGGATGTTAACAATCAGAGTTTAGATTACAGTCATATAGTAATAGGCAGAGTTTTTCTTATATAATCAATAACCAGAGTAAAGATAATTGATTAATAGAGGTTTAGTTTAATATAAGTAATAAACAAAGCTAATTAATACACTTGCAATAACATACATGTAGTTAAATTAGTAAATACAGAATATTCATAAAAAATTCAGACAGAAATACTGTAATAGGTCAAGTCGTTAGGGACGACATCAAAAGTTCAATATAGGATGAAAAACTTAATTCACATCACATAGTTTTTTCACTGACCCACCCACCCCCCCTCTTAACTTAATTTGGGAAAGATTGATTGACCAATATGGATTTATGTAAAATCGATTTTGGATAAACAAAACTTGCAGCAACTTTAACCCCACCCCCACCCCCAAACTATTTGATTTAAGTTTTTTTATCCTACATTGGTCTTTTGATGGCGTCCCTTAGAATGTGCTGACTTTGTACATGTTGTAGTGATAGTTATGGCACCCATACAACATATAGGAATCAGTCAAAAGGAGAGAAAAATTCCCGTAATTTGTCACATAGTGACATTTGTGAGTCGGAATAACAAAATATAGACTCATTAATCTCTCCATCTTTTCAAAAATTATGAACCAGATTTTATGCATATCCATTTAGTTTTTGACGGACTCTTTTAAGTCAGAACATGATTTGACCTGTTTGAGTCAATTTGCAGAACAAAATTTCCAATCAAAGCTATGTGTTCTTCCTCTTAGCCCCCTTCTGAATCTGCCACTGTTGAGTTTATTAATTGATTTTTCCATACATTATCATTAATATCAAATGGCAATGCCTGACTTAATAATTTCAATAAATTTAGTTTTTGACTGATTTTTTAAAGTCAGAACATGACTTGACCTGTTTAAGTCAATTTGCAGAACAAAATTTCCAATCAAAGCTAGGTGTACTTCCTTTTAGCCCTGCAATGCCCGGCTTTAATATTTCAATAAATTTATTTTAGTTTTGGACTGACTCTTTTAAGTCAGAACATGATTTGACCTGTTTAAAACAAAATACATTTAATATTGAATATACCAAATAAACTTTTTTATTGTCCTCATTATTGTGACTTATGGGGACTTTATTCTCTCTGTCTTTTATCTGGCTCACCCATACATTTTTAAATCAATATGACAATACTATACTTAAAAGTTGTAATAAGTTTAGTTTTGTTTGACTCTTTGAAGTCAGAACATGATTTGACCTGTTAAAGTCAGTTTACAGAACAAAATTTCCAATCAAAGCTAGGTGTACTTCCTTTAAGCCCTGCTTCTGAATCTGTCATTTTCGAGTTTATTATTTGATAAGTTTTTAGAAACAATTAAGTCAAATGGTTATTTATTTTAGGGGATCTTACATATATTTCCTGTGTCTTTTATCTGACGTTCCCATACATTCATTAAATAACATATGGCAATGCCCAGCTTATATATTTCAATAAATTTATTTTAGTTTTGGACTGACTCTTTTAAGTCAGAACATGATTTGACCTGTTTAAAACAAAATACATTTAATATTGAATATACCAAGTAAACTTTTTTATAGTCCTCATTATTGTGACTTATGGCTACCTTATTTCCTCTGTCTTTTATCTGGCTCACCTATATATTTTTAAATCAATATGACAATACTAGACTTAAAAGTTGTAATAAGTTAAGTTTTGTTTGACTCTTTGAAGTCAGAACATGATTTGACCTGTTAAAGTCAGTTTACAGAACAAAATTTCCAATCAAAACTGGTCTTTTCCTCTAAGCCCCCCCCCCCATCATAATCTGCTACTGTTGAGTTAATTAATTGATAAGTTTGTTTAGAAACAAATCAGTCAAATGGTTTTAAAATAATATTTTTTATAACCAAAAGTTCCATATGTTAACTTAACAGAAAAAAAAGTCATAAAAATGCAGAAATAGAATAAAATTTTAAGATAATTTGATGAAATTTGTAAACAAAATACATTTGAATATTAAATATACCAAATAAACTTTTTTATAGTCCTCATTATTGTGACTTTATTATTGGGTGTCTTTTATCTGATTTTCCCATACATTCTTAAATGCATATGAAAAT